TGATGAAATTTTATTTTATTGTTGTAATTAATTTATAGCATTAACAAGATGACCCGTTGAATTCATTTTGGGAGCGATGACTGATTTAATGTATTTTTAGTCCAGTGCCTGCATATAAGATTAGTATTGACCAAGTTCAGAGGCTGTCATATGTGGATCAACTTACTCAGGGTGCGAATTACGGGGGAGTTTGGAGGGGCTGACCCCCCTAAAGAAGGCTTTAATTCCCCTGATGGACGTCAAAACTAGATGTAGCGGGGGGTCAGATAGAAAGAAGGCAAGCCTACGCATAATATGGAGATTTACTTGTAAATATTAATATGCATTTCTATAGCCCTAACTGATTTTAAAATATAATTTTGACAGCTCCTGAAAGGGGTCGTATTGACAGTACCTGAGCGGTTGAAGAATACGCTACAGCGCTCATTCAAAGACGTGCATTTATTGCTTGGACGGAGCAAGAACACCTAAAATGCACGTGTAGATTCAGTCGAGTGATAAAGTTTACCCTCTTCAACTTAATGCTGCTGAACTGAATTTATGGAGCAAACTATTTGCTAAAATATCCATAACATTAACAGCACCGCTGAAATACAAGCGCGCGGTTCTGTCAGTCTGTCAGGTTCTGTTATAACAAACACTGTGCTTTCTTTCAGAATCATCATTGGCTGGTAGAAAGACAAAAATAGGTTACATAAAAGTTTTTACCTAAAAATGAAGATAAGGTAAAGGTGAGAATAATTATATTTTAGACACATTGTCAGTAATTTCACCAATGAAAATAAAGCCCTCGGAGAACTGTTGTGCGTCAACAGTTCAGATCAACACACAGCGGTGTTTCATTAATGAATCCACGGTTTTAAATGAATCGAGTGATTCAATGATTCAGTGAACCATTCATAAAGGCAGTCACTTGCTTCGTTTCTGAATGAATCAGCCATTTGAACGAATCGATTAAATTAATGATTGAATGACTCACTTAAGACAGGGATTTGCCACCACCTACTGGCGCATTTAGTTTTATATTTAGAGTATCATTTCATAACTTAATTTCATAATTTAATTTCATATTTCAGCATTTATTTGTATTTTTTATGTTGAATTAAAATATTTCTTCCTAAAGCTACTTATATTTCAGCTACCTTTTTGTAATGTCTATTCAGTGTTTTTTTTTTTCTAAATTAACAAAATGATAACTATTATCTTTAATAATAACTTTATCTTTAATCAGCACATGATGTACATGTTAATTAATTAATCTCATTCATTTGAGATTCATTTGATTAATTAATCGGCACATTATGTAATTACATTTTTTTTAAATAATCACTTGTGACGTGTCATGGATTTATTGCATTTTGGGGAAAAAATAAAATTTTATAATAAATCTTTGAAAATCAAAATCTGGATTTGAATTTTTAATGTTATTATAACCTAAAGATGCTATGTGAAAGTTTGAAACAGAAAATAGTGGTTTTCATCTTGCCACTTTGAGCTTATTTTCCTCTGTGAGACTCTCCCTTCACAACTGTGAAGCTGTATTTTTATCCTGCTGTATTTACGTTTCCAGGGGTTAGCAGTTAATAATCAATTGATTTCTCAATTCACATGTGCTTACTTCACAAGCCTGCTGCTTATGTGCACCAATTACCTTCATATGCTAGTGGAATTTGCAAGTTTTGAAGGACAGTTAAAGCTGAAATATTTGCTGGATTTGTGGCTTGTTTACCTTTAAGCGAGCTAATACGCTGCAGATTGAAAACACAAAGCTGACATCAAGAGAGAAAATCCAGCATGGGTTTTGATCTGGACTACTTTAGGGGAAGGAGGGACTCTAAGACACTCAACCCCCGCCCACTCTAGAGTCCCAGCCAATGAGAGCAGGTCTGGAGGAGAGAGTGTGTGTGTGAGAGAGAGAGCGGAGAGGAGGTGGCAGAGTGGCAGTCTTTGCTTGTGTGTAGGGAGCGGTCAGTCTCTCACGCTGCTGCAGTCTGCGAGCATCCTCAAGAGTGAGAATCTCTTTTTATTCTCTTTCATTCATACATTTTTTCATTTTTCCTTTATTCCATCCTGTCTACCAGCCCCCTCACCTTTTTTTTAGCTTCTCTGCTGTTGCTGATTCGTTTCTGTGAGAGTGAGAGTGTATTTGCAAGCACACGTGTGTGTATGTGAGTGTGTATTGCCTGTTTAAGGGGGTCTGTAGCGTTCAATTTGGTTTATTTGAGGTTATATTTATGTTATACTTTAGAAAAGTGCAATTTATGTTGGAACTGTGCATGATATTGTTATTTTGGTATTGTGTTTCCTTAAGTGACAACTTCCCTCTTGAATAGTTCTCAATGTATTAACTTTTTTTCAATCTTTATTTAGAAAAGAATGTCAAATATTTCTAATGATGTTCCCAAAAAACATCTCCTGAAGGTTTGTGTGCTCAGCAGTCTTTTTTTAATTTGAGTGGATTTGTTCGGGATGAGTGCATCCCTCACTGCAGGATTGTTTTGGGTTCTCTACTTTATCCTCTGTCTGAGCTTTGCACCAATCTGAGACTTTTTAATCTGTTTCTCTATCTATCTATCTATCTATCTATCTATCTATCTTACTTTCTTTCTTTCTTTCTTTCTTTTTCTCTGGAGAAGAAACATCTCTTTGTTTCATTTTTATTCTTTAGCGGCTTCTCTTTCTTTTCAAATAACATTGAGGCCATTAGAGAAAGAGGTAGAGCTTAGTTTCCAGAGGTGGGAGTGATTTGTATAACGCCTGTATATTTCATTGGGAGGAAATGCGGATATATTTGTGAGTCAGGTCTTTTTTTATGCTTTTACTGCACATCTCTAATTGTATTGTCATCATAATTGTCCTTGATCTTCCTCTCTCAGCCTGCAGCCTAATGACAAAATTGACTTGTCATTTGACCTTTGAGTTCCTGCAAGGAAAGACGGGGCTCTCAATCAGCCTTATTGCATGTAGACCCTTTGATGACCCTCATCAGAAGCTGCTCAAACCATCTAGTTGATGAGTGGTTTAGTTATTTGCATAAGGTATTTTTAGACCAATTAAATGTGTTAAAACAAAATGAAAGAAACTGAATAAAAAAGCTACCAGAAAATGATCCAAATAAGCTGTAACATGTTACTCAGGTGTGGTAGGTGCTCTGTTGGGGCTGCTGTGCTGGTTTGGGTTGTCTAATGGTGTTCAGGCTGGGCTTTGGGGCATTGCTAAGTGCTCAGGTTTAGCACACGGTGTGTGTGTTCATTGGTCAGCATCCACAGCAGATGTAGTTCTCTGCTGAAACAGGGCTGAGGTGTGCAGCAGCCTCAACAAACTGCCATGCCGTGCACTAGATTACATGCTGAAAGAGCATGAGTTCTGTTTTAGGAGGGCAAATCTGTGTTTTTTACCATCCTGAAAAATACACTACAATGTTACACTACAATACACAAAAGAAAGCCAATAAAATAAATATTATTGGACTATGTTTTACAGGAAAATACTTTTTTGGTCTTTGTACTTTAAAATTTGATGTTTAATTCTCTGTTATTTGCCGTTTCATTGTAATTAATTGTGAAATTTCTGGGTGAAAATTGTTTCTACACCAATTCTTTTTTAGTGGGGTTGGTAAGTTTTTTTTAACGCTTTAAAAAGTTTTAGTCTGTTATGCTCATGGGAATCAAGAATATAGTAAAAATACAAATATTGTGAGACATTATTACAATTTAAAATAAGTTTTCTATTTTAATATATTTTAAAATGTAATTTATTCCTGTGATGGAAATGAATTTTCAGCAGCCATTATTCCATTCAGAAATCTTTCTATTAAGCTGATTTGGTGTTCAAGAACCATATTATTATTATTATTATTATTATTATTAATTTTGAAAACAGTTGTTTTTACAAAAAAACTTTTGGACAGTTCTGTTTTTGCAGAGGTTTTATGAATCAGATGCAGTTAAAATTATCATCATATTTTTAAAAGTATATGGGATGTTATTATAGCTGTGAAATGGGATCTTTGTTTTTACCCCAAAGGAAGGCGAAACAAAACACAACAATAGGGGTTCTTAAAAAGTGCATATACTAAGTAATGGATAATATACAGTTAGCTGGTTATTATCTTGCAGAATGATGAATATTTCAATTCTGCAGGAATCTGTGGAGATTCAGTATCAGCCTGCATATAACAAAGAGACAGAAGTGGGATGTTATGGGATATCATACATTTGTACCACAGTAGATACATAATATGACTTTACCATCTCTCTCTCTCTCCTACTCTTTCTTCTACATTTCCTGTATTGACTGTTTGACCTTGTGCTAGAAGTCAGCATAGAACAGCTACTGTAGATTGTATCGATCGGAGCTGTCATATCAGACACTAAGTCTCTACACCACATCCTTTCTAGACAGCATTTCTTCCGAGATATCTTTTTATTAATTCTTTGGTTTGAGACTGTTTGTTTGCATGTGCTCTGTTCTGTTCTAGTGATTTTAGGGATGCCATTGCAAAGCTTGATGTTTGATTTGGGGGGAAAAAATTTTGCATTATGTTTACGCTTGCTTGGTTATGTTTGTGCTTACAGAATACGGGCGTTTCGAGGCCAAGATTCATGACTTACGAGAGCAGATGATGAACCACAGCATGAGTTCTGGGTCGGGATCCCTCAGAACCAATCAAAAACGGTCGCTCTATGTCAGGTAGACCTCATCTATATTTAAACATAAATTCACATACAGTAACACAGAACTGCAAGAATTAATTAAATTTTCTTTGTATGTTTTTCATGTTTTTTTTTTTAAAAAGCTTTTTTAAAAAAGCTTCAGATTTTCTTTACCCCAATGGCAATTTCCTTTTCTTTTTTAAGCAAAAACTAAAGCTAAAACTAGCGAAGATTTATGCTTTAAACATTTTTTTTTTTTAATTCTTAAAATTAGATATTTTCTCTGAAAACAGGTACCTCACACCATGTAGCTTCTCAAGACAGTTTATCTTGTTCACATATTTTTACTGAAAAACAAGATGAAAAACAGATGAAAATTTTTTTGGGTTGTGAATGAATGTTTGAATGAATGATACTGATTTCCCAGCAGCCCCCTGATCATGTAAATATGGCGTTAACTGTCTTTCCATGTCACTCTTGTTATGTGGGACTGATGTTGGATTGATGTGAACATCAGTGTGGTCTCTCTGGGCGATGAGACATGTTTCTGGAGCGAAATGTTTGTTGTACACACAAGCACACATACACATACTTCAGGGGTTTGCGTGTGAACCTGCAGGGTATCTGAGTGAGTGAGTCAGAATTCATCAGTGTCCACTTCGCCTTTCTAACACACACACACACTAAAAGGAGCACATGCTGTCTTATGTGTGCGCTCTAATCCTAGATCAGCCAGAATTGGGGATCATACTGTTTTACATGACATTTAGAAGAGCTATTGATATTTAAAATCAGTAGGAAAGTGGCAAAAGTGACCCATTATAAGATGCTCCAAGAAACCTCTCTTTGCTCACCTGCTCTCTGTTTTTAAGTCAACATGAAACCAATTTTATTTTACAGTGAGACATACTGTATATATATATACTGTATATCCAAACCCCTGAGACTGCATGCCCGTTGTACGTGGCATCCCACCCGGTGGTGGAGGCATCCGTGTAGACCACAGCATGCCTGGAGATCTGCTCTAGGGGCACCCCTGCCCGGAGGAACGCAAGATCTGACCGCGAACTGAATCGCATAGCCGAGGCTGATGGTTTGCAGAAGCCAGCGAGACGGGCTGGGTAGCGCTGACCAAGCGCCCAGAAACCGTACAAGCGGGACCAGCGGGACCACAGCCGTACCCGCAGTGGGGCAGCGAGGTGGAACACAGGGACCCAGCTCGGGCGGCTTGTGAGCGGGCCGGAGAGGGGTGTGAGTGTGGGGTGCAAGGCTCACCTGGTTCCACGGGTTGGCAGAGGGTGTGTGAGTAGGGCCTTTGTTGACGCTTTCGAACCGCCCGCTGCTGCTGTCTGGCGAAGGAGGAGGATGAGTGAGGTGCGGCGTTAGTCCGTCCGCAACTCTCCGTGCCCTCCTGGGACCCAGAGATAAAGTAAACTGCTATTTTGTCGAGAATTTGGGTACCGTCGGCCATGAGGCCAACGGCGGGAAAAAATGAAACAAAAGATTCTCCGAGAGCAGAACGATGTTGTCGCTCGGCTCCGAAGCGAAAAGCTGGTATGCATTGCACCTGCTGCCTTATTATACTCACGCTGTGATCAGCAGCAGCTGTATGCAATAATTGCATGCCAATGTGCATTGGCTCGTTTAGTTTACACTCAAAGTAGATTGGTCTATCGAAGCGATATCCCAATTCATCGGTCACGACGTGACTCGTAGTGACCGACTGAAAGGGAACTTAATATACATATACAATATGGCCCCTGTGGTACGCAGTACTGTAAGAATTCTGCAGCTGAGGAAGGAGACGGTTGTGAGACAGAAGTCTCCACAAACCTCTGCTCAGTCTGTAGAGGGAAACAGAACATTATGACAAAAGTATAATTTCCAGTTTGCCTCCGCTGAGTTCTGGCGAGATGAATGCAGAGGTGTGATCGCTGTTGGCTGCATTCTATGAATAGAAAACACACGTCAATGTAAAAGCAATGCATGCACAACTCCATTCAGTTAGGATGGGATATGAGTCAGTTATTGAGTGATTTTCCTCAATCAGCAAGTTTCAGTGTTTCTGTCACAATGAATCAACATCACAATTTCTTTAAAGTGGAAGTGTGCGTGTGGCTCTTGTGTGTGTGTGCACTGCTTATTTACCTCCTCAAAGCATTCTCAGTGTGTCTCTCTCTCTCTCTGCGGTAGCATTTACATGTAGCCATAACAACACCCTTCCTCCGTGTGATCGGAGAAAGAAATATACATCAGTTTATCCTGCTTAAGCAAGAAAGTCCAGTGTTTGTGTAATTTGTCCAGTGCAAATGTAAATTTCAGAATATAAATTGCAAAGATGTCTGGTTTGATTTATTTAGCGAGAAGTTGGCTGTGTTGTGTCTAGGGACTGCGACAGTGAGAGAGCTACAGTATAGAGATTTTTATTTTCTTATTTTTTTTAAACGCTGCAAAGAATATCATGAATATTGATGTTATGTTCGTGTTTTTTAGTTTAATTTTCCAAGTTTATGTTCAGCAGGAAAAGACAGATCTTATCTTATCTTTTCTTATCTTATCTTATCTTATCTTATCTTAAGATCTTATCTTATCTTATCTTATCTTAACATGCATTTTAACATGTTTAATAAGCCAAGCTAAATTGCACATGAACATGAACACCCTAGATACCTCACAGAACACCTTAGAAACTGCATAGCAACATGCAGGTGGGGTCTTTTAACTTGGGCATGTAAACAACCATTCAGAACACAATATATACTGCTTAGCAACACCATGACAACCACCTTGAAGGTTGGCTCTTTTGACTTTGACCAGTAAGTGAGCCCCTCGATGGCAACTATTGCAACAAGCAGCTCTCACATTTTCTTCCCAAATTGTAAAAATGTAGTAATCACATAAAATCTTCAGTTGCTGTAATGTATATAATTAATTCTTGCAAATGTCAGCTCGGGTCCTGTTATTTCACTAGCCCAGGCTCTTATCGCTATGAGGCCGCTGATCTACACATAAAAATTCCACTCCACTTTACTCTCAGGGGGCTTTTAAACACCACATTTCTCTGTAACAGTTAAAAGCACCGCATTATCTGCACCTTTGCCAGCACTCTGACACTTTTTTCTAGTTTGCGTGTTTTAGACGTAATGCTTTTTTCCCTTTTGCCATGCTGATGGCTTCAGCTTTTATCTTACTGCTTAGTAATACTACACTAATTTTTTTTCAAGGACTGAGGCAGCACTCACTCTTAACAAATTATGTTACAGACTAGGGGTGTAACAATTCACTCGTTTTCTCGATGCATCGATTACAAACCCTGACGATGCATATGGTGATGCGATTTTGAAACATGGATTTTTGAATCGTGAATCGTTGATTTCGGACAGTAATCGATTTAAAACGCTAAGAATCGAATGAATCACAATTTCTATAGCAATTCAATGCTTTCAAAATATATACACATTAAATTACTACAAGCACTAATTAATGGAGACCTTGAACAGTTTGTGCCCTCGCATCTCTCCTTCACACGCTCCACTATATTTACCGCCTGCGACTGTCACAGGATTGCGCTCACGCTCCGTTCGTGATGTGTGATCTCTCCTTAGTACTTGTGGCCAGTAATGCTAAAGTGAAGTAGTTTTGCTTTTCTGTAGTTTTTCAATGGCTCTCGGTCATACCGACGACATTACCTGAGCAGTCGAAGGCTGCGCATTTATTGCATGGACGGAGCAAAAATGTAAGTGTCTAAAGCATATGCACAGTTCCATTGAATGATAAATGTGTTTTAACAATGTCGTTGAACCGAATGTACGAAGGAAACTGTTAAAATAACCACAGCATTAACAACAACCTTGAAATAAGAGTGCGAGGTTTATCTAATAATCAGATGCATTAACGTATCGTTTGTTGCTATAGCAAACAGACATCGGCCGCGTTTTCTTTCAAAATCATCATTCGCCGATGGAGAGGAAAAGTTAAATACTATAGCATTTTATTTTATGAAAATGAGATTAAGAAGTTTTCACACTGAAAGAGAAGTGATCTCGCGCTCAAAGAACTTAAAGCAGCACTATGTAACTTTTTCTGTGTTCAAAATTTGCAAAATGTATATAATGAGCAAGTACATCATGAATTCATCTTCCAAACCGCGTTTTTGTCTTGTTCCGAATCACTACGGTACACTTATAATAAGTACTTATATTTGGACTAATGTAGCCTAGTCGGGTCGTTACCGCTGCGGAGTAACACATACCTGCGTGAATCGCCATAGACATAAACTTAGAGAAGTAGCTCCGGTTGGAATTTTCTTCCGCAGGATGTGTGCAGTTCTGTTTATTAACCGCAAGAGCGCCAAAAGTTACACAGTGCTGCTTTAAGACGTGCCAGGAAATGCCTAATATGGACGAAGGCATCTATCGCTGCAGCTAAGCTGAATAAAAATCAGAATGAACTGGTGAAACGTTAAGACAATAAATAAATAAAAGTTATGAATGATGCAGTGCTAATTGACATATCATTCTAATTCTGTGCAGAAAATTTAAATAATTGTTTGTAGTATAGGCTATAAAACAATCATAAAATTGCCATTAGGAAAAAAATTCTAGATTACAAATGATTGATTATTGTCCAGCAGTGTATTTGATTTCTTATAGCAAATTAAAAATAAGAGATAAGAAAATTATTCCTTGTAAAAAAAAAAAATAATAATAATAATAATAATACATACATACATATGCCTACATAAAATTATTGTATTTGACGTTTCTGTCACTTCTGAAATGATGGCTACGTGTATAAAACAATCATAAAATTGCCATTAGGAAAAAAATTATAGATTACAAATGATTGATTATTGTCCAGCAGTGTATTTGATTTCTTATAGCAAATTAAAAATAAGAGATAAGAAAATTATTCCTTGTAAAAAAAAAAAATAATAATAATAATAATAATACATACATACATATGCCTACATAAAATTATTGTATTTGACGTTTCTGTCACTTCTGAAATGATGGCTACACCCCTGGTGTGACAAAA